GGTCAGGTGCAGGGGAAGATGAGTCCTACCTGCTCCGGAGATGTAAAAAGTGTCTCTAACTGCTGCTTCAGTGGCATGATCCAAAAGCAGGGTGAAACCATGCCATGCACCCCTTGGAAAAAATCCCATTTGTCCATAGGTAGGTGACCTTGCATTTTGTTCTATTGAAATTCATCTCCTTTCTGAGCTCCAGTCCTCAAGGTCATCCAGTTTCTTTCTGTACAATATCCCCATCTTCCTCTCACGATGCCTCCCAACTTTGTGGCATCAGCAGATTTCATCTGCATACTCCCACTTTTCCCAGAAAGGTCATTAAGGAATTTATAAACAAGAGAAGTCCTAAGATCGATTCTTAGGTACGGCACTAGGAACGGCTCTAGCTCCTTATTTTTTTTATCAGCCTGCAATTAAAAAGGCCATTAGCCTCTGGATCTTGTTTCTCGGGCTTATCAAACTGCAGCTACTTAACCAGTACCCTGTGCCCAAGAGCTATTTTTCCCAAAGGTGTTGGAAGTGTACTTGGCCCAGCCTAGAGGCTGCATTCTGACTCCACTTTCCACAAAAACACCTCGACTGGAGTAGCTGGTGGGAGTGGCTGGCTGGAAGTCATTGGACTGGGTTTGTATCCTGAGGACAGCTTGGTGCCAGCCCAGGGACCTGCTGACAGGCACCTCCTGAGAGGGAGCACTGGGATGCTCCATTCTCCTCAACACCCTATATTCACAGCAAAATTCCCCAGCATGACCCGCAACTGCCCCATGGAGCCAGGGGGCAAGTGGCCCCTGAGCAACATGCATGCTGGAAATAAAAATCCTGAGGTGCAATTCCCATGGGACCAAGGCCCCTCTCCCCACATTTCTTCTTAGGACCCATGGGTCACAAAAGACACTCCTGCCCACATGGCCCAGAGATGCCAGACATTGATCCAGGTCAACGTAAGGGCTCAGACTTGGCACCCTGCACGGTTCATGGCCCCAGCATGGATGACTCCATGTCTGAACTAAGCCTACACAGGCCAAGCATGTAGGGACTGCCATGCCGCTGGTACAGATGCAATTTACACCCGGGCAGAGCGCAGAAGAGCAGGTGTCAACAGGGTGGGCAGTCAGGCAGGAGATCCAAGTGGTGTCCAGTGCCAGGCATCAGGGTCCCCTTAGTCCTTATTGGGCTGCCTGGTTCATGTAATGGTAGCAAAGCCAAGGAGAAGGATTTACCAGTAGCTGCTAAAGTATGTTCCCTGATCATCTCCGCTGCAAAATCTGTCTGATATACAGTAAAACATAGTTTCCTCAACCTGTGGTACACGAGGCCCAGGCAGGGGGTACATGGGTACCCCAACACTCTCTCTTGCCCTCTTTTCCTCTCAAAACTATGGCAAAAATTTGGTGCAACACGCATTAAAATTCCCCAGTAATAATTTGGCGTGCCGTGCTTTGTGTGGCACTGGGTTCAGCCCTCCTAGCTTTGGACAAAAGCACTTCTAGCCCAGGTACATACTTGAGCTGTGCATCCCTGGTGTAAAAGGTGGCAACCCTACCCCTTCTTCCAACATACAGCACACATTAATCTGTAAATATAAAATCCCCTGGAAAATTGTGTGTTGGGGTACTTATTAAAATTTTCAGAAGTTAAGAAGCACTTGCTACTTAAAAGGTTGAGAAACACTGCAGTAAAACACACACCATGGAGAGGCAGGGAAGAGAAGGCAAGGAGCTCCTCTGGACAATCCAGCCCCTTTGGAATAGCAGATATGCTACAGCCAGCCCAGCCCCCTCTCTGGTCACAGTCATCAGAGCCCAGCTTTTAAATCAAGGATCAAATGTATATGCAGTTTACATGGAACTGAATTGCTTCAGCCTTTCCTTGTTATTTTCAAAGCTTTACAATTAGGATTATGGCTACAGCAGGATAAGGTCAGATATACTGCTTGCTGTTTTCTTCACAGTAACATGCATGGCTTTAGCAGACGGAGTTGGAATGTGGCCTCATTATTTGTGCTGGCTGCAGGTTTCCTGGAGCATTCAAGTCTGCAAGCCACTGTTGCGCTCGCTGAGACCTTGCTGCCAATATGGATAAACTTTCATATAGAACAATCAGCATCATTCATAGATCTCGCGCTGCCCTTCAGAGGAGCTGCACCAGCACAGAAAGCTTCAATTCTTTGCTCTGGTTTCCTGGTTTGGGGTAGGCAAGACGGAAAATGTGAGCATGCAAGACGCCCTCAAGAGGATGTACCAGGAAGCTGTGGGGGAAGCCCTGAAAATCATCCTAGTCACAGCAGTAATTTGAGCAGAGTTCATTCTTACAATATCATTAAAGAGTTTCATTCTATCCATGTCCTTGGGATCAGCAAAGCCTCTCCTGCCCCACTCTGCCCAGGGTGTGGAAATAGTAAGTTATGCCTCTGCCTCTATAAAATGGATGGAGCCTAAACCTGCTTCTGCTCCCCTTGAAGTCAACAAGGGCTTTCCTATTTACTTCCTTGGAAGTGGAATTTGGCAC